AGTTACTCTTCTTATTTATAGATAAAAATTAGGCTTATATATTTATTGTAATTGTACTTTAAAAAAAATAAAGCTTAATGTTACCTATGAACATTTTTTTAATTTGGAATTCTTATACAAATAAAAGTCATCACGTATCATTTGATCTTTAACCCTCTGGTCGTTTACAATATATTAAATTTATTCAACACAAATATCATTAGAACGTTATTTGATACGTTCTATCTGTTACATGAAATTATTAATACATTTATAAATAAATGAATTTAACGATATTATATAATAAAATTTATTTTATGTATTACAAATTTATTAATAAAAATAGGATTAAATACACAGAAAAAAAACTTGCCGATCAGAGAGTTAATAACATGGCAAGTATTTGAGATCTTTATTAAATGTATGTATAGCATATATGTTTTAATGAGGTTTTAATAAGTTTTGTTAAAAAAGTACAATAACTTATTATAATTAATTTGTTTCAGACGTCATTTTTTGCCTTAACTATTGTTATATATAAACATACAAAAACAACTTCTAAGCCAAGTAGCAATATCGAGATTAAATTAAATGTCATATGTATATAAAATCTATTTTAGTGTTTATGCACTCCAGCGAAGTGTACTTTTTTCCCTTGTCCATCTAAAGCCTCCATTAAGCTTGATGTAAAACTAAATTCTGAGCTACTTTCATCTTCCTGACCTCTGAAAAAATAATATAATTAATAATCTGTTATATTAAAATATTTCGGTTTTTTTTATGCCGATAATTTTCTCTTGAAAAAAGAGAAGACATACAGTGTATCGAGACTTGTTAGACTGCTGTTCAATGTTGGCATACTAACAAAACCATCTATCTTCAATAATTCGAGGTAAGAATTAATAGTAGCCACATAAATTCCTTTTGAACCAGCTGTGCCTAAATAACGTGGACTAGATAATTCGATTAAGGTACGTTCAGGGTTCCTTTCCGAAGAACTATATGCTTCTGCATCGAGTTTCACAATCTCGACAGATGAGAAATGAATAATAAATAAGTACGGTTTGCAGAATGCTAAAATAAGGTAATAAATTATTAATGTACAACATTAATATGTAAATAAAATGATATCTACCAAAGGAAAATTATATTTACCAAAAGCAAATGGTAAATGATTCCACACTGGATCAATAGCGCGAGTCCTTCTACCATTTTCGTCTACAAATACACCAAACTCATTGTAGCACAGTAAAAGCTCCGCTGTGCCACATATATTTGAAATATTTAGAACACACACAGGAAATGTGCCAAGTTGCGCTGCACCCGATATTGCCGCTTTAATTGAGTTATTATCTTCTTCTGGGAATTCTGTGAATAAATGTTTTTTTTTTTTTAGAATTATATTTTTTATTCAGATATATTATAAATTTCCTACTCGTACCATGAGAAATTACTTACTAGTTTAAGAATTATGTGTAACATATAATTTTCTTTGTGTACTTACCATCTACAACGTAAGTTTGCAGATCAATCTGTAAAAATTTGTCACAACCTACAATAAGACGATTTGTAGTAAATATAGCACAACTGCAAGGTGTATCAAATTGTGTATCAAATTTATAAAGTTTGACGAATTCTCCAAAATCTTCTTCGATTTTCCATTTCAACAATCTGCATTAACATATAAGATATTACATTTAGAATTATGTTTCAATACTGTATTATGTTTATAAATGAATTAAATGTTACATACATCACACGAGATGTAGTTGCGGCGCATAGTATATTGCCTTGTAATTGGTAAAGATGACAACTATCAGAGATAGATAGTACAGTCTTTGTACTGATTGCTGGTCTAGAACAATCGGCGGCCAACGCATTATTCTTCAATAGCCTCAAGTTACAATATACTAATTCCCTGTATTCACCGGCTATCATTAAAGCCAAATCCAAGTGAGAATGTAAAGAAAGCTGATGTATTTGCTTGACACCGCGAATTGTAGTAAGCGTTTGAGATTTCAAAGCGCAATATGAAAAAAGACCTTCTTTCGCACCTAGCAAAAGTACATTTTCCGCACCCAGATCCACAACACAGTTCAAATCCAACTAATAATAAATGGATAATTTTAATATAAAATAAGAAAACGAGAAACTAATGCGAAATTTTATACAGAAGATATTATAAAAGAAAAACTATTACATTAAATTTAATTTGTTAAATGAAAAAATCTTAATCTTGTCTTTTTATATTAGATTTTATAAAACTGATATGTGAGGATTTAGTTCAATCTTAACACATCACTCACCTGATGTTTTTCTAATCTGAGTACAATTTGATACTTTTTACATTTTGATATAGGATATGAATTTTGAACAGTAACAATCTTTAAAGTTTCAAGCCATTTCCTCTTATCAGCCTGACTCAGTGCCATGACGTCCAATCTAGATGAAGGCCAACAAGTCGTCACAGAATTCGATTCTATTCTAAAGATAAATGGGATGTCGGATTTTGCTGTATCCAATACGTCGGGATGTTGCACTACTTCAGAAACATTAAAGCCATTATTCTCTATTAAATTTAAACGACTGATTGGTACCACTCCCGCACATGGCTGTCGTTCGTAGAGACATAGGCACGGTTCTTCCAATTTCAAATACTTTCTCTCCCAGCAAGATTTTGATTTACTAGGAACTTTTACCCATCCTTCCATAGAAATTTCATTCTCTTTGTAAGGAGTATTTTGTAAATCCTGCGAAAGATACATATGGATATATAAATTGTCTTGTTATGAAAGTCACGAGATTAGAAATAAATAATAGTAAATTTAATTTTTTACTGCATCTGGTTTATCCGGCTGATCTATCGCCAAAGTCTGAACGCTATCTCCGATTGATGATATACTCTCATCGCTATCTCTATGAGATTTATAATAGTATTTAGACAAACCACTCGGTAAACCACAATTGGCAGGTACAGACACCGCGCATTTTAAATGCGTCATAATTTGACACTCGCTGCAGATCCGAGCATGTCTTCCGAACTGTATAGCCTCTGGACATGCTGCGCATTTTCCAGCACGCATAGGCAATTCAACATTAAATCTATGTGGAATGTTGTGTCCTATCCTTTGCGGAGATAACTGCCTAAGTAATGAGGTACTAGTTTCTGTGATATTCTTCACCTTTTTGCCTTCGCGTTCTGGCGTCGTCGGAGATGTAGGTGCAGATGCAGGCGCGGAAGCAGCCCTAGCTTTCTGAATTAACAATTGATCTGTCAACGTCTTCACCTTCGCTTGTTCTTTAGCGAGCTGATTCTCTAATTCGCGATATCCCACAGGCATGCCCGTGCCCATAGGTGGCATATTCTCCTTCTGTTTCATACCAAGTATTTCGCATATCTTCGTCTTCTTTTTCTTACCACCTCCTTCCAATTGAAATTGCAAGTAATCAATCAGTTTAGTTTGTTGCTGTATAACACTTTCATACTTTATCTCTCTTTTCTGATAAAACTGTCTCATCTCTTCTATGACGGTTTCCAACTCTGCTATTCTTGATCTCAGTTCCTGACACTGATCTATGCTATTCTGCAAATTATCCCTAAGCACAGAATTTTCCTCTTTCAATTCATGCACTGTCGTCAAGTATTCGCTACTTTCTTCTTTCACGACTCTCGATTCTTCTTTAGCAGCCTCTAAAGCATGACCCATTTCTGAGAAATCGCATTCCAATTCACCACATTTTGTATTCAATTCTTCTACTTGCATAGTAAGTTCCTGAACAAGTTTCTTATACTGGTCCCTTTGAACGATCAGACCGTTTCTCTCGCTTTCTATATCACTTGTTTCAGATTCCAACTGTTCAATGTTGCGTTCGGCAACTATTCTTCGTGTTTTCTCTTCGTTCTGCGCAATATGTGCTTCACGAACTTTTGTTTCAGCAGCTTCCAAGTCTCTTTGTAGCTTCATTTTATCTTGAATCAGCATATTTTCGCGCGTTTCATGATCGCTTGTTAATCTTTCGTAATCCGTTAACTGCTCTTCTAACACTGTACAAGTTTCCTTTAACAACTCATTATTTATTTCGTACCCTTTGATATCCTGTTCTAGTTTTGCGATTTTAGATTCAAGATCTGTGACTGTCTGTGTCAAACGCCTGTTCTCGGCATTCTGAGTATCGACACGCTCTTGATTCGATCGTATTTGCCTACGAGTCGCATCCAATTCTCTACGTAACGACGCACTAGAAGTTTGTGATTCTTCGATTTGATGATTAGCTTGGATTAAAGCCTAAAAAATATGAGAAATTAATTAAAAATAAATAACAAAAAATAGATTTTCTTATATTTTAATTTATGTATCCATAAAAAATTAAAACAATTTTAAATAAATATTTATAAAAAATATATACTCTTTGTGCTGAATCTGCTTGCATTTTATGCCTAGATGCCTCTTTTGTAATATCATTCAATGATGTCTTCGCGATATTTAATTCTTCTAATAGTTTCTTTGAATTTTGTTCTTCCTCTTTTACTTTATCATTTAATTTTTTGAGTAACTTTTGATTCTCTTCCTGTAGAGTTTTTATTTTATCCTGTAGAGTTTTTATTTTATCCTCAGCTCGTTTAGCTTCCCTTACAGCTATACGTTTATCTAAGTTAGCATCTGATAATTCTTTTTCTTTCTTCCATAGATTCAACTGGGCTTGTTTCGCCGTTTGTTTTTCAACTGTTAATTCTTCTCTTAACGATTGAAGTTGCTGCTTCAGTTTTTCTGTTTCTTCTTGTCTGTGAAATACCTTTGTATCTGTGGCTTCAACAATTGTTGCGCGAGTTGCAGGTGGTACTTCATCTAGTTGTTTAAGAACAGCATTTTCTGCTTCTAACTTTGTAACACTATTTTCTAAACGTTTTAATAATTCTTCTAAATTGCACACTTTGCGCAATTGTTCCTCTGCAATTAAATAACAATTAAATGACAGAATAGTCAGAATATACAAGAATAATTCATAATATTTTATGTATAATTTTGTTTACTTTCTTTTTCCAAAGAGTCCTGTAATCTCTTTTGCAATGCAACTTTATCTTGTGCCGCTTGTTCTAAATTTACAGCAAGTGCTTCACTTTGCTCTAAATTCATCATGGTTTCATTTAGATCAGATTTGGTAACCTATAAAACAAAATTATTGGATTAAAATTCAAATATAATATAAGAAACAAAACGGATTATTAGAACCAAATATCATTAGCTAATTATTATTTACATTATAAATAAATTATATATACTTATACATAAAATTAAATTTGAAGTTTTTAGCGAATTTATTAAAGCTACCAATGATGGCACGAATGGTTCAATTTCTGCATCCCCTATACGCGATTTTTCGTATTCTGAAGAATACTGCTCTATCTTGTATTTTTAAGGAACAGTATTATTTCAATACATGTAACTTTGGCTAATGATATCTAGCTTGGCTCTAATAATCCGTTTTCTTTCTTATATTTGAATTGTATATTCATTTAAACCTATTATATTATATTATTACAATTATTAGATTTAATAATTCTTTATCACGTTAATGGTGCATTTGGGGAGACACTATTAGCGCTATTTCTGTCATTCTATTTTCATTATTTATTAGACATAAAACAAAGATAGAATAACACAAATAGTGCTAATAGCGGTTCCCTAATCTTAATTCTCAGTTCGCTTAACTTTCCTCATAGCTGTACGTTTATCTAAATTAGTATCTAATAACTCTTTTCTTTCTTCCATAAATTCAACTGAGTTTATTTCGTTGTTTGCTTTTACGTTTGAAGGTGCTGCTTTAGGTTTTCTACTTAAAACATTTAGATTACTTACTTGCAATTGTTGCTTTAATTGCTCATTTTCAAGATTCATCCTTTCCAACTGTTCTTGCATAGTTGTAAGCAACTGCTCTGATGACTTTAGATCATCTATCTGTCCCGCTCTCTCTTGCAGCTGTTTACGCAAAGCTTCGATCTCAGTGTCTCTTGCCGGTAACGTGGCTTGTATAGTACGTAACTGTTCCTGACAATCTCTTAATTCATTTTGAGCAAGTTCTAAAGCAACATTTAATCTTGACTCGCGACAATGATTTGAATCCTGCTCGTTTCGTAACCTAGTCTCGAGATCTATGTTCTTTGCTGCTTCAAAGTCCAATTTTGCTCGTAAATCGGCCAATTGATTATGAGAGCGCACAGCAATCTCCTCTAACTTAATTTCTACGCCTTGAACACTTTGTCTACTTAATTCACGCGTTTTCGCCAAGGATTCCTTATATTGTGCCTAAATATTTATTAATAAAAAATTAACAGCTTGATACCTTAAATTTGCCATTTTATCTTCGTATATAGTTTTTTGTGGTTAATAACATTACTTAATGGATAATTACATTATGTTGCATTAATTTATATCATTACATTATCAAATTTAAGTTACCTACTTGAAATACACGCAACTTATCCAATTCTGCATTTGCAGTTTGCAGTTCACCTTCTGTCCTTTGTAAACGCGAACTCATTTCATTATTACTTGTGCATAATTCTGTTAATTTTACAGTTTGTGCTTCAATATGCTTATTTAATTGTGCAATTTTATCTTTCTCTGCATTCTCCCATTTTCGCTTAGCGTCTCTTATTAATCCAAGCGCTCGAGTTTCTAAATCTCTCCTTTCTTGTCGTTCCAATTCTATCCCAAGTGATACATTAAGTTTTTGTCAAGCAATAAAAACATATCTTATATTAAGTAGAACAATCGTGGGCTAAAATATACTTTCTTCCACGACTGTTTGTATTATTTGACAATTTGTGAATTTAACTGTTATAATTGTTATTAAATTACATACCTAACGTCCTTTTAATGCCTGCCAGTTCTGACCTTGTAGTTATTAATTCTTTTTCCAATAAATCCCTCTCCTTATTGGAAGCTTCTAATTTTCGTGTTTTCTCCTCTACCTGAGATTCTATCTGAGAAAACCTCCTGACCTGATCCTGTAATTCAAATATTCTCTTTTGCTTCTCTTGAATTTCTTTATTTTTCACATCTAACTTTGTCTCTAACTCCATTTTTTCTTTAGAAAATTTGTCCGGTTGTAGATGCTTAGGTAATTTATATTCTAAGTATGGAGAATGTCCTGATCCCGACTGAGCTTCAGTTTCTACAGCTTCAGCTACAAAAAATAAAATTGTATGGCACAAAAAAAAAGTAAAACTTAAAAAAATTTTTTAAATTTAAAAAATATATATATATAGTAAATCTACATTAACTAAAATAATAGATACAATAAGATAAACAGGTACAAACCCAAACTTCTCCTAATGCCAGCTAATTCTGATCTTACAGCCACTAATTCCTGTACTGACTTGTCTTTTTGTTTAACACTTGCATCCAGTTTCTGCGACTTTTCATCCAGATCGCAGAAATACTTAGGTTTACTATAAGGCTTCTCATAGGCCTCCAGTGCCTTATATCGCTCATATCGTGATCTCTCATTGTTTTCTAACTCCATGACTGATTATTTCCAAATCGTGTGATTATACTCAAATACGTTTAATCATAGGTCTGTTTTCTGTAGATGAACTAGTATACACTTTTGGAACTTAAAGTAAGATAAGTATATGTATGATATTGGACGAAAATTCTAATACAATCTAGAACAGGAATAAAAAACAGACTTCATGACGGCGACCAGCGACGACGCTCCGACTCGTCTACAATGTCTACATCCAAATTGATCAAAGTTTACGTTGCCACTAATGCCACTGAACCGCACTGAACTTCTAACGGTCACGATCAACTTCGTGCGTACAATTTAAATATAATACGCTGCTTACGACGTCAGAGTGCGCGCGTGGTTTTAGTGAGAGGGGTGATCTCTGGTGATCTCTAGCGATAACTTAATGGGAAAAAAGTCGATAAAGTAGATATATCGATAGATACAAGGATTGTATTGTGCCGCAAGTTACATTTACATGAAATGGTAAATGTTTAGTATAACGTTTCCCTTTCGAATTTTCTGTAATTTTGTAAATTTTTATATATTTTTTATAAATTTTTTGTATATTTTTATGTGTAGAATATATTCCGAAAAGGAAAATCATGTCGCTCAAGTCCTGTTTCTTTTTCTATAATTTTAATTTTTTAATGTCAGTAAATGAGAAAATGATAATTTAATGATAATTCTCTGCTTTAATTAATTAAAAATATTACTTTTTTTATATAATTTAAATTGTAGCAGAGAGAAATGGATTTCGAAATTCATACTTTTTTTACGAAGATAAAAAAACATTAAAATAAAAAATGGAAATGCGACTTGAATTTTTTCTCTACAGCACAAAGTTGCAACAACACTGCTGCAACATCGCAGCGACATTTAACATGTGTGGTAGGATTGCAGAGATTTTACAGTGATATTGCTGCAAATTGTGCTGTATGGGAATTCCATCTCGATCAAAATCTTCGCATAAGTACACATATTTATAAAATTACAGGAAAATCGGAAAAAGGCGATAAACATTCGATAAACATTTACTCGTAAAATATTTACATGTTGGTATATTTACATTAAGTTCAGACGAATCTTTTTCATTTAAATAATACGCAATGTAAAAAAGAAAAGAATTAAGTTGATTGTTAATATGCTGACTTTAATATTGATAAATAAAAATATTTAAATGAGAGAAAAGTTTTAGTGTTGTCTAATAAAATAATATAACGACAATGAATATAAGCTTAAATGATCCATAAATTGTTAACACATATGATACGTAAAACATAGTTTACACAAAGATGTAGATTATTACATTTTAAACGCACAACTTTGCTCTACATTGAAAAAAATCTTAAAGAACTATAAGATAAATTATAAATTTAAAACAAAATTAAATTGATCTTTTAATAAAAATTCATCACTAAAATTAAAGAATCAACTATTGAAATAATTTTCACATCTTACATCAGTATATATCATAATTAAATATTCTTTTAAGTAATTTAATGAAATCTGTGATTATTTGAATATATTTAGGATATAGGGAAAATAAGACTACGCGGAAAATATAGAAAAGAAAGGTATTCAACACAAACGAACGTGGCAAGAGTATACTGTATTTTGTCCTTTTAATCATTACCATACGAACCGTTACTTACAAATCAAACTGTGATTGTGATTCTTCCTGATAGTCTGTCAGTGTGTCTCATGTAACTTTGTGTGTGTATGTGTGTGTCTGCCTGCCTGTGTGTGCAAATTGTGTGTGGATATGTATATTCTCTTTCATGAAATTACATTTATCGTCTATTTAGCATTTCTTAGCAATACCATTAACGCCATCGTTATTGATATTATCATTAATTAATAATTACTTTGATACAATAAGGCGCTATATACGGTAGTAAATAATATATATAATAACTTTATTATAATTTTAAATACATGAGCATAATAAATTTAGCATTTGAGGCGATAATTAAATTATTTCGTTGTTTAATTTCGTAATTGCTCTATGATTTTGTAGGTTTACGAGACGCTCTATAAAATCGAACGTACGTTCCATCAATAAAAACGTTTTTAAATAATGCGGAGTGAGTTTGCCACTATATGTTTTGCAAACTCTTGTACATATTTATAAATATATATACGTATATATGT